ATACTGATCTGTTTATAAACATGTCCCCATTAGTGGACTGTCCCTTCAAGGACAAATGCTGGGTAGACTCAGCTCTTATCACAGGGCTCACAGACACAGAAAAGATGCTCAGTAAATGTTGGTGGAATTGAATAGAACTGAATTTCTACCAGCATCCACTTGACACTTGAAATTGATGGACAGGTGATACCCTGTTAGGGCTGTGGTGTGTATAATCTCTACAATGGCTCCCGGGGAGTTGGGCAGATAGACGAGGAGGTTTAGTCCCAGCGGGGGTGGAGGGAGGAGGAGCACAAGGTCAGACTCTTAGAAAGAATTAATAATATCCAAGGAATTCTCACGGAACAGTAGGGGGGAATAAAGATTCTTCAAAGACGCCCTAATGGCAAATTTTCTGGATTTTCCAGCTAATTTGAAGGTACCTACTTGGAACATTTTCTTGTCAGAAAAGATTTTAAAATACATTCATTCAGTGTGACATGATAATTGGGCCTGGCTGCCTGATGAATGCCTTTTATCTATTCCTGAGCTATTGTTCCCTGGATGGAGCTGATGGGCTGGAACGGGCACTTTGTTAAATGCACAAACAGAGCTACTTGCAACAGTTCTGGCCACTGATGCAATGGGGGTCTCAGAAAGATTCCTGGGGGCTCATCATGAGAAGGTGTCAGAGAAGGAACTTCAGAGATTAGAGAAGGCAACTTCCTCACTGTTCCCCTGGCGGCCTGAGGCCCAGGGAGAGGCAGGGCGTGCTGGGATCACACGACGTGGAAGTGGCCGAGATGTGGACCTGGTGTCCTGGCCCAGAACCAAGCCTCTCTCCCCTGCCTTCAAGGCTTCTGTGGAAAGAGGCCAAACAATGGACAGTGTACACGGGTGCAGAGCCACTCACACCCCCTCTTGATCCTCTGCCCAGCGCCCGGAGAACACACTTGTCTCATGCAAGGGCGTGGCTGCCAGAGCAGGATGCATTTCTGACAGCTGACTTTCCTCAGCTATACAAGGCGTTATCAAATCAGCTATTTTTATAGGCTCCCTTTCCCTTTCTCCTCCTTTTATCTTTTCTTTATTTGAATGCCTTTGTTTTCTCGAAGGCAAATTTCCAGGCCTGGCCATCTGATAACCATTGCAAAGACTCCATGAGTCTTTATCACTCTTTCTAAGAAAGAAGGACTTACTTGGCCTTATTATTTATCTTTACATGATAGTTTGGGTTATCTTGACTTTTTTTATTGAAATTCCTTTAGCATTTTGTTTTAACTAGTATCTGTCTTGGGGTATCTCAGAGACTACATATGTTAACACATTGTTTACAAAACTGTGGCTTGGGTTTTCTGCTTTGTCAGGGCAGAAAACTATTTTTCTCTTTAAAAACTCAGTGTTATCTGATCTGCCTCTCATTAACATTTGAGGAATAAAACAGTTCCATCGAGAATATGACATTGACATTTCCATTGTTTTTCTTAGAAAACACCACGATGTTAATCATCCCTCAAGGGACTTCATTTTATACAGATGATAACTAAGGTCCGGGCTAGGTGTGCATGTGTGTTGGTGTTTAGATGTGTTGGTGTCACGTGTCTGTGTTCTCATGCTTGTGTCTGGGAGTCTCAGTATGTAGTTATGTCACTGTACACGTGACTGTGTTTGTCTGCCAACGTGTGACTGGCTGTGTGTATGTCTAGAGTGATGGTGTGTGAGTGTGTGTGTACAGATGATTCCGTGAGGATCTGAATGTATGTGGATAAGTGCATTGTGTGTCTCTGTGTTTTATGGCCACGTGACATCTATGTTCATGAATGTACTTTTTTATGTACATGTACTGATACATATATACATAGGTGCTATGTGTGTGATGAGTCGTGTGTTTGTGTTCATGTGTCTGACTGTAGGCACATGTGTGGGGGTGTCTTTGTCCGAGTTTTTTACTTGAGTGTTTGCAGGAGGGAAAGCTCAGATTTGTGTTCAGAACCTTCTATATACATGTACACAGTACCCTCTAGTGGGCATGAGAAGAAAGCATCCCAAACAAAACAAAACAAAAAAGGAGTGGGGGGGAGCAGGATCCAAATCACCTCCAATTCCAGACTGGTCCATGGCCACACACAGGGCAAAGTTTCCAGGATGGACCTTGAGAGGGCAGGAAAAGCCAGCCACCCACTTCACAGGGGACTCTGTGCAGGGTCCCGCCCTCAGTGTGGGGGTCCAGCTTCACAGTGTGGGGGTGAAAGGGCTCATTCTCTGGCGCGGAGGCAAGATCACTGAGCTTGGTGGGTCAGTGGGCCAGGAGGGAGGCAGCCTGCACACAATCCAGCCACAACGGGGAGGGACCTTACCGAGAGCTCACAGTCACGGGGGTCCCGCATTCTCCATTGCCCTGGCCAGGCCCATGCCAAGTCCCAGTGTTCTGGAAGCAGGAACCCTTCACCTGTGATGGTCTGAGTTTCCTCTTGCTGTTGTAACACAGCAGTGCAACCTTAGCAACTTAAACTAACACATTCATTACGGTAGAGTTCTGGAGATCAGAAGACTAACATGGTCTGCTCAGGACTGTATCTTCTGGAGGCTCCGGGGAGAATCTGTTTCCTCCCCTTTTCCAGCTCCTGAAGGCACCTGAATTCCTGGCCCATGGCCCACCTTCCCAACAAAGCAATTATGAATGATCCTTTGTATGTTCTGCGGGATTTGCTAGGCTAATATTTTGTTGAAGGGGAATCTCTATTCATGAGGAATGTTGGACTACAGTCTTTTCTTTTATTGGAATGTCTTTGTCTGCTTTCGGTATCAGGGAAATGTTGGCCTTTAAAAATGACTAGAAGCGTGTCCTCCTCTTCTCTTTTCTGTGAGAGTCTGTGTAGAATTGGTGTTATTTCTTCCTTAGATAACTGGGTATTAGAATTCACCAGGGAAGCCATCTGAGTCTGGAGTTTCCTTTGTTGGGAGGTTTTCAGTGATGAATTCAATTTGTTTAACAGACCCAGGGCTATTCTTGTTATCTATTTCTTCCTGAGTGAAGCTTTGGTAGTTTGTGTCTTCCAAGGAATTTGTCCATTTCCTCAGAGTTATTAACTGTATTGTGATAAAGCTGAGGAGAAGTCAGTGCTGAAATAACTAACCCATGAATGAATGACTCGCCTAAGGAGACCATTGCAGACAAAGAGCAGAAATTCTGGGTTAGGAAATAATGTGAAATTCATGAAAAACTTTATGCTTTTTTGAAATGAGTCAGTTTATTAAAAGGTACAATTATGCACAAAGATGCAAAGCAAAGTCATCAAAAATTGGAAACCACATAAATGTCAAAGAAAGTTAATATATGTATAGTCACTAGATGGAATATATATTTTTAATTTAAATTCTTTTTAAAAATTGATTTGAGAGAGAGGAAGGGGAGAGAGAGAAAGAAACATTGATTTGCTGTTCGACATATTTATGCATTCATTAGTTGATTCTTGTATGTGTCCTGTCGGGGGAGCAAACCCACAACCTTGGCGTATCGGGACAATGCTTCAATCCACTGACCCACCTGGCCAGGGCTGGAATATATATTATAGAGTATTACTTAAACACTCTGAAAACATGCACAGCAACATCTGAAAAGAAGTACACCAAAATGTTAATACTAATTATTTGTTGAGGTTTTGAATCTACAGAGTCCTTTTTCCTTCCTTTTCATATCCTCCAAATTTGCTATATAGTATTTTTAAATATATTTTTATTCATTTCAGAAACAAAGGGAGAGAGAGAGAGACTCATTGATTAGCTGCCTCCTGCATGCCCCTACTAGGGATCAAGCCCACAACCTGGGCATGTGCCCTCACTGGGGATCAAATTGTGACCTCCTGGTTCATAGATCAAAGCTCAACCACTAAGCTACACTGGACAGGGTATATATATTTTTTAAACTATATTTTTATTGATTATTTTTAGGGAGAGAGGAAAGGAGAAGAAGAAAAGATAGAAACATCCATTATAGAGAAACATCAATGGGCTGCCTCCTGCACTCCCCCTACTGGAGATTGAACCGGCAACCCGGGCATATGCCCTGACAGGGAATTGAACCTCTTGGTGCATGGGATGACTCTCAATCCACTGAGCCACGCCAGCTGGGCTATATATTTTTTAATGGAATGAAAACTGTTAAGAGAAACAACATTTCCTCCCACTTCTAGTGGGGCATAACTAGACTTCCTATCAAACTCAGGGCCTGACACAAAGTAGTCCCCCAATAAATGCAGTAAAGGACCAAGACCAGCGATCTGAAGGTCCCTCTGTCCTGGGGCCTTGGCTTCTGCCTGCATGGTTGCTTCTCCTGCTGCTGTCACCATCACCACCACCAATCTGCCCAGGTCCCAGCCCTGGCTGCCCTCTTGGGGTCCTTCAGCACCCTGGACCACCCTAAATATAGTGTGTGTGCATATCAAGTGGCCAGGCACACTGCCCACCATCCCTGAGGGGCTGAGCCCACATACACATGCTCTGCCACCAGCATATCTCCTCTGCTCACATATATGCTCCATTATCTCATTAGACTTCACTTACAAAACACAAGTTCAAAGGTGAAATTATTAAGCATTTCAAAACAATGACAGCAAAACATAAAACCAAATGCTCCGAGCAACAACACAGATTGCATATCTATAAAAACAGCCTGGTAGGAACACAGTGGCCCAGGCAGCAGAGGCTACAGGTGGAGTGGTGTCCCTTACAAGTCAGGATGGGTGACAGGGCAGACCCAGTAGTTGATGTATGTTGAATACTATACGTATACCAAAAGCATACACACTCCCCCT